GTTCCCGACGGTGGGGGGGGGAGAGGGGGGGCAGGCGCGGTGTGAGCAGTTTGGACTGTGACTTGCGTTCAGGGCGGGGGGACTGCCAAGATTGGACAAGGCACAAACGCAAGGGGTTTGCAATTGATCAGCACAACTTGGCTCAAATAAATAGCCACAGATGAGCGCTCGCGAGGGTTGCACGTGCAACAAAGGGCTGGGGTGACCGCGAAGTGCAGGGCCGGGCAGGGGTGTACGCACCGGCTGCGTAGTGGAGGGCGGTGGAGCCCCTGCCGTCCGCCGCGCCGACGTCGGCGCCGCGCTTGATCAGCAGCTGCATGATCTCCTTTTGGTTGAAGCCCACCGCCACGCCCAGGGCTGGGATGCCCTTATCATTCTGGGTGGCCACATTGGTGCGCAAGGCGGTGGGGGGGGGGGAGCTGTCGGTGGAGCAGAGACGGCCAGGCAGAGCGAGGGCTCGCGCAGGCGCGCTCCTGGCGCGGCTCCCCCCGAAACATGCTCGGCGCCTGCGCCAGCCCGGCCGTCAAGGCAAAGTCAAGTCAAAGGCGGCCCCTTGCCCGGGATCCATTTGTGCAGGGTGCAATCTCTCATACAAAGACATCATAATACATGACCTTGCATTGAAGCAGTCCGCTCCGCACCTTGCCGTCCACGTCAGCGCCGCCGTCGATGAGCTTGCCGGCCGCCTCCACGTCGCCCCACCGCGCCGCGTCGTGCAGCGTCTCCACCTTGCGCGCCGCCGCGCCGCCCTTCGCCGCCGCCGCTGCTGCCGCGGGCGCGGCCGCGTCGCCCGCCTGCTGCTGCTGCTGCTTGCTGATCTGCATCGCCCGCATCTTGGACGAGATCTTCGACATCAGATCGGTGTCCTCCCAGTACCTTCGTGCGTCCAAGGAAATGGGTGAGCACCCCTGGCCGATGAGCACCCCTGGCTGCCCTACCCGTGCCCCAGCATGGACTGAACCAGGTGTCCAGGGGCATGCAGCTGCGGCCTGCGCGCGGCTCACACACATGAAAAGCGGCGGGTCGGAGGCCACGCGGGCTGCCGCAAAGCTTCCACCCCAGCCTCGCGGCGGTCCCGCCGCGTCGTAGGCCCAGCCGCCCCGTCGCCGCCCCGGCCTCAGGCTGCCCATTTCAACCCGGGGCGGCCAGTCTGGGTTTTTGTTGGTTTGACGAGCCTTGCTCCTTCCCCTCCGGACGCCGCGTCGTGGGGGGCTGCTGCCCGCCTGCCGCACCCTCCTAGCGCCCTGCGCCGCCGCCACACCCCGTGCGCGCGGTGGCCCGGCCCCTTCTACCGCTGCGGCCCTCACGCGCCCGGGAACGCCGCTGCGCCCCCTCGACTTTCCCTGTGTCCTTCAACCCCCAACATAATCAGCTTGCCCAGGTGGCTCCAGAAGCAAGGCACCAGCAGGCGCTCCTTCGACCTACACCTATCCCAGTCTATTCTACCCCATTGCAACATAGGGCAGGTTCAACCTGCCCTATCCGATCCCATTCCCTCCCAGCGTTGCCCACCCGCCGCGAGCGCCCGCGCTCACTTCTGCAGGGCCGCCACGCCGTTGGCCTTCACGTCTTCAAACACCTCCGCCAGCTCCGGGTCGTCCTTCAGCGCGTTGAACACATCCTCCCCCGCGGGCGCCGCCGCCGGCAGCTGCGCGCATGCATGGCGTGGTTGGGCCGCCATGGGAGGGTTGGGGCGGCCGCATGGGGTGGGGGCGTCGGCGACGGGCGCCATGCGGGGACGGGGACAGGGAGGCGGCACGGCTGGCGTGCGTGCATGAGTCACGCGGAGTGCGGCGCGGCCCATGCGAGGGGTGCATGCGAGGGGGACGCGCCCATGCAGGGGTGCGCGCCGCACCTGGCCCGTGAGCGCCTGGGCGGCCCCAGGCATGGTGCGCATGACCATCTGTGCCTGCTGCCACGCCTGCTTCGCCGCCTCCGGGTTGTTCTTCAGGTATTCGACCACGGCCAGCGCCTGGTCCGCGGGCATGCCCGGCGGCACCTTGATCGGGATCTGCGGGGCGTGTTGGTGTTGGGGTGGGGCCAGGGTGGGGGCCCCAGTCGGCGATGAGGCGCGACACGGGGGCGTTCAGCGGCGAACGACAGGAATCTTGGCACCGCAGTCCCAATGGGTGTAGCGAGGACGATGTGAATCTTTACGAAATTACCTGAGAGCCATCCTCGAGCGTGATGTATTGCGCAGAGAGGACTGGCAAAGTCGCGGCAGTGGTGGGTGCGGCCTTCTTGCCCTTTGCGGGCAGGGTGGGTGCTTTGCTAGGCATCTTGTATTCCTACGGCGACTTCCACGCTGCGTGCGAGATGGTGGGGGTGCACCGATGGGGTCACCTGGAGCAGATATCGCGATCTACGCCGGGATCTGCGGTGGATGACAAATTGCAAAACACTCACGGCTACGACTCACAAGATGCGATTGATCAAGCGAGTCCTGAAGTCCGCACCAACGTCCAGGTATGGCTGTGTCCCTGTGTCTTCTAGAGCTCCACTGGGATACCGTAATTTGAGTGCCGGGGCAGACTCGCTTGGTGTAGTGGCATCTGATTGCAGGTCGCACAAGCTGGTGGAACGCCATTCATGACTTGGGGAGTCCCGGCAGACAAGATTTCCGGTCTGAACCGAGTTGTCAGTTGCGGGTCTTGACTGAGCTTGGCGGACTGGTGGCCACGACACTCTGCATCCCCAGACACGGAGCAAATGAGCGCATCCAGACTTTCATGGTAGTGCCGTTTATAGCCTTGCATACAGCACGTGAACATTTAAATGCATTCATCAGGGATCTGCAACGACGGGGGCGCGCGCATACAGATGGGGAAAGCCCTGCAGTGGGTGAGACCAGACGAGCATGGCAGCGGGGAGCGCACGATGCTGGGGTGTTCCCAGGCGGGCTCGCACGAGTGAGCAGCGACAAAGGCGTAACAATTGTAAATCCGAAGCGCGCTTTGTATTCGTGCACGCCGCAACTCACGCTTGCTGCCTCGGTGACGTTTGAACTGCGCAATTGAGGTGACAGCAAGCTGCCTTGGGCGAGTTGGCGCCGCGCTCCCAGTGGCACGATTTCGGCGCTGCGGCCGTCTGCATGGGCCACGTCAGCGACCAAGAGGGTGCAAGCCCCGGATTGAGCATGCGCGATTGATTACAGAATCCAGAAGGTGTCGGTCGCATCAACGCGCCTACGGCTCCTGCAAGCAGAGCGACTCAGGGCTTTGCCGTCCGGCAGGACCGTCCACAAAATGCACGTGCGCAGCCGCCCCCACGCGCACGCGGGCGTGTGTTGTGCTGGAAGGCATGTATCTCGAATTAGCGCGCAGATCCGATCCAGGCTGCGACGGCCTCGACCCGGCATTCTTTGCCATGATATGTCAGACGTTGAATCGCTGTCACTCCGCTGCGACAGGCTCCTGGCTGCCGACCCCGCAAACATGCGACCGTCTGGGCATGGGACGCGCCGACGCCTGGCCGCTCGCCCACCGTCCAAGCTCTCGGTGCTGCCGTGCATGGTTGGTGTGTCCCTCTTTGTCGGAGGGCGCTCAAACACACCTTGCAAGCGAGGAGCACGCGCGGAAATCTGCTGCACACAAATGCAGCAATTGCAGTGCGCCAGGGCGTCGATGGGACGCACACAGGCAGAGCAGTTGACGTGTTTCAGGGCCTGGCCACAGCCGGGTAAGAAAGGCCGCCCCGCCTAGTGCTTGCCCACACTGGCATCCGCCATCCCATTGACGATAAGCCACTACCCACAGTCGCGGCCGCCGGCACGCGCCTTGCCGCCGCCGCCGCCGTCGCCCTCACCGCCCCACAGACAGCTGCGCCATGCAGCGCTGCGCCAGCTGGCGGCTGACGCACTGCCCGCCGCGCCCGCCGGGCGTGGACAGGCGCGACACCGCCTCTCTGTAGAAGGACGCCGCTTTCTTGTCGTAGCCGCGCGCCTCCGCCGCATGCGAGTATCCCTCCACTAGCCGCGCCCACTCGGCGCCCCCGGGCGACAGCGGGGGCGGCGCGCCGGCGGCGATGAGCTCGGTCAGGCTCCAAAGCAGCTGCGAGGGGGGTGAGATGTTTGGGCTTCCTGGGCATTTAACGTTTTGACTCCGGGGCGGGACGCTTCGCTCAAAGTTGAGAGGAATGAGAGGTATAAGGAGGAGGAGGCAGCGCTTGGCGGCCGGCTTCACACAAGCAGCCAGCCGGATTAACACGGGCCGGGCTGCGAAATCGCAGGAACAACACAGGCGGCACCCTCGCGGCGGCGCAACAAGCCGTTGAGCATCTGCCCGCCAGCACAGCAGAAGAGAACAGAGGCCGGCCTACCTTGCTGATCGCGGCGGGCGTACTGTCTGCGATGGCGTCCTCCTCCGCGCCGCGCTCGGCCAGCGCTCGCAGCTGGTGGTGGGGCGGGGTCAGGCCCAGCGTTGAGAGGGACCAGATGACGTCACCCGCGTCCTGGCAGGTGACCTGCGATGGTCATGTAATCGTGATTGTTCATTTCAGCGACGTGACGGCGGGAGAGAGTCACCGCGAGCGTTGCTGCTTGATCTGCTGCGGTGCCTGGGCTGGCGGTGCGGAGGTCAGGCTGCACTTCACAGCTTGAAGTGGGGTGTATGAGGGGC